GTGTGTTGTCTTTTCTTTTCTAGGGACAGACACATTTCACCTGTGTGTTAGGGCAGCCTGCTGTATTTAGATTTGAGCAGCCAAGACAGATGTATCCAATACAAGGAAATAGGTTGTCAAAGAGAAGTCAAAGTATATGCAAATAGAAGTGAATAGTTACATAGGAAAACAAATGCTGAATAAATTGCTCTGTGTTCTTGGTTGCTCATTACTTCTGCTCATTATAGTCTTTAATGACTTATTTGTCTGAAGACAGATGTATGCAAAACATGGGTAGTGCTAGTAATATTCTGGATGGATTTTAGATTTTGGTTATTTTGATTTACAGATATCTTGGCTATTGTGTTGTGTTGATCATGAGTATTCTAACGGTTTGTGTATCTCAATTTGTGCAGGAAACATTTCCAAATAAAAACAAGAGTAATTTAGATTTTTTTTTTTTTTTAAATATACATATGTATTCTTCATGTTTTGTGAAGAATATCTTACTGTGTCAACATCAAAGCCAGCAGCAGCAGAAGTCTGAATTATGTGCTAAAAATCTATGGAAGAAATCTATGGTATTTTCTTAATCTGTTTTTCCTTTTTCTTGCTGGAGCCAATGAAGCCAAAGTTCACGTAGTAAACATGAAACCAGAAAAAAAAAATAATTAAGAGGTAGTGAGCATAGTGTAAGTAAATATTGCTGTGTTAATTGAAATGCTGAAGATGTACAATGGAAATCTGACAACTTCAACTTTAACTATGTAAAGTAATTGTTAAATTAGTTAAGTTTTCTCTGGTACTAAAGAGATAACAGATATGTAGCCATACCATGTAATTTTTCTATCCTTTGAACATCATTAGAACAAAAAGAGATGGTTGTAAATATTTGACTCAAATACTGATTAAGTTCTTGAATTTAAGCATAATTTCAGTGCTAAATGGTTAATGTTGCTATTTAAAATTAACTTTAACCTCTCTTTTCTTGACATATCTTATACTATTATGTTCACTAAAGCTTAACCTTTCTCTTGTCCTGAACAAATTTAAGGCTCTTTACCAAGAGGAAGAGGTCTAGAAAAAAGTGGAGAGCATTGTTTCATGTTTAGTGATTTTAAGAGATCTGAGGGAAACAATGTCTGAAAACAAACCAAGCAGCCAACCAACACTAAAGCCCCCCTCCCCAGGTGTTTGTCGACTGACTGCCTTATGGCGGCTTGTGAGATGAAGAAGTTGCCAGACCTCTCTTGAAATATCAAGTACTTCAAATGTTAAAAAAAACCTGTTTTCTTTTTTCTGTTTGGGGAATATACATCTATATTGCTTATTGACTCCTAAGCTTTAAGATTTATTAGTATCATATGCACTTGTGTATGCTGTGCTGAGAAACAGTAATCTGATTTTCTTTTTTATGGTGTTACATAAACATTGCTGGTTAACAGGTTGCAGAGGCTGTAGATGAAGGCAGAGCCCTTGCAGATTTAACAACAGTAGTTTTACAAGTTACAGTCTTATTGCTGGGTGCTGATCTGTACATATGTTTAGTGTTTTATGTTGGGTATTGCATTTACATGGCAAGGTTGGGTGGCTTCTGTGTGAAGAGACCAGGGGCTGTGCCTGTGCTGGACAGAGCCAGTTCCATTCAGCTCTAAAATGGACCCACTGCTGGCCAAAGCTGAGCCACCCAGTATAGCAGGTGGTGCCTCTGTGAGAAGGTGTTTAAGAAAGGTTAAAAAATGCCACACAGCAACTGTGAGAGAAGTGATAGAAATAACTCTGCAGACACCAAGGTCAATGAAGAAGGATGGGAGGAGATGTTTCAGGCGTTGGAGCAGATATTTGTTGGCAGCACATGGAGAAGGCTATGGTGAAGAAGGTATTTCTCTGCAACCCATGGACTGCTGCACTGGAGCCCATGCAGAACCCCATGCTGGACTAGGTGCATATGTCCCAAAGGAAGCTGCAGCCCATGTATGTCCCATGCTGGAGCAGTTCTTGCTGAAGTACCGTACTCTACAGAGAGGACCCATGTTAGAGCAGGGGAAAGGTGTGAAGAGGAAGGAGCATCAAGAGATGAAGTATTAAAAGCTGACCACAATCTTCATTCTCCATTCCCTCTAGACCACTTGGGAGAAAGGAGATAGAGTTGGGAATGAAGGAGTGAAGTTGAACCTGGGGAGGTGGTTTTAATTCTGTCTTTGTTTCTCACCATCCTACTCTATTCTTAATTGGCAACAAACTAAATTCATCATCGTCTGATTTCCTGTGACAGTAGTTGGTACATGACCACAGTGTCCTTATCTTGACCCATGTGCTTTTCCATCTTATTTTGTCTCTGCTGTTATGTTGAGGAGGGGGAGTTAACACATCAGACATTGAGAAAACAAGGCAATTTTTATCCAGCAGTTTGGTAAAACTGATTGCAGTCCTTTCATCAGAAAAGAAAGGTTTTATTCTTAGCCTTGCAGTATATATCTATTGGTGTTTTAGTACCAATTTTTCAGCACTAAAGAAAAATGGGAAAAGAATGTGTGAGACAGAAGTGGACTTGGGGTTTTTTTTTAAAGGTTTTATTTGAAATTGTTAGCCTTGTGAAGCACATTTTTGGTACCTTTTAGTGTCTATATAGCAATGCTGCAATGAGCTTCCTCTCTGCATTCTTATAACAATAGCTCTGTGGTAAAACTACTGTGGTTTGAATGTATAGGTTTATTTGAAAAGTTGACATAAGCTTTGAAATAAAGTGTAATGTGAACAAGTCCGGATGGTTAACTTATCCTGCAAATTCTTGAAGAAAACCAGGTGAGGTTCCTTCTGTTTTCTACAAGTTATATCTCTTCCTGGGTATATGTTATTTCAATTAAGAAATACAGAATCTATTTATATTTCAAATGATGAAATAGAAAAGGGGTTTTTTTGCAATTCTGTGGTCAGTAGTTAGCAAGTGGGAATTAACTGTGGCTTTTATCTAGATGCGGCTTAATTATTTTCTTAGTTCACATACATGCAAATTACACAAAAAATAAAGCTGTGCTTTGAATTCAGGCTGGTTTGTATTTTTCCCCTTCCTGTAATCTGCCATTTTTGCAGAGAGAATTTAATTGAAATCCCTTGGATTCTGGTATTCCTCAAATGTTTTTCATAGTTTCCCATCTTTGAAAGCTGCTGAATAATTGCTTCTCTGTGGGGGAAAAAAAAACCAACCAAACAAACAAAAAAACCCCCAAAAAACCCGACAGTGGCAGAGTTCCTGAAAGAAGAGTGTTTTTGACATTTTCTCTTGATGAGTTGCAGCAGCACATGCCAGAAAATGCAGTACAAGTGAATGAAAAAATATACAGAATGATTACTTGATCCTCGGGATAAATTAACCTATTCCAAATTACCTGTATTAAGTCTGCCTTGAACATGTATACTAGGTAGAGTTACATTCAAAGTTTTGCAGTCAATGGCTTGATGTCCAAGTGGAGCACAGCAACGAGTTGCGTTCCACAAGGGTCAGTGTTGGGGCCAGCACTGTTTAACATCTTTGTTGGTGACATGGACAGTGGGACTGAGTGCACCCTCAGCAAGCTTCCCAGTGACACCAAGCTGTGTGGTGCGGCCAGCATGCTGGAGGGAAGGGATGCTGTCCAGAAGGACCTTGACAGGCTGGAGAGGTGGGATGAACTTCAAACTTTATGAAGTTCAAGGCCATGTGCGATGTCCTGCACATGGGTCAGGGCAATCCCAAACACAAATACAGGCTGGGCAATGAGTGGATTAGAGCAGCCCTGCGGAGAAGGACTTGGGGGTTATAGTGGATGGAAAACTGAATACGACTCAGCAATGTGCACTTGCAACGCAGAAAACCAACTTTGTCCTGGGCTGCATCAAGAGAAGTGTGGCCAGCAGGTCAAGGGAGGGGATTCTCCCCCTCTACTCAGCTCTCGTGAGACCCCACCTGGAGCACTGTGTCCAGCTCTGGGGCCCCCAACATCAGAAGGACATGGACCTGCTCGAGTGAGTCCAGAGGAGGCTACAAAGATGATCAGGGGGCTGGAGCACCTCCCCTGTGAGGACAGGCTGAGAGAGTTGGGGGTGTTCAGCCTGGAGAAGAGAAGGCTCCGAGGAGACCTTATAGCGGCCTTCCAGTACTTAAAGGGGGCTACAGGAAAGATGGGGAGGGACTCTATCAGGGGGTGTAGGGATAGGACAAGGGGTAATGACTTTAAACAGACAGAGGGAACATTTAAATGAGATATAAGGAAGAAATTCTTCACTATGGTGGTGGTGAGACACTGGCACAGGTTTCCCAGAGCAGCTGTGGCTGCCCCCTCCCTGGCAGTGTTCAAGGCCAGGTTGGACGGGGCTTTGAGCAACCTGGGCTAGTGGAAGGTGTCCCTGCCCATGGCAGGGGGTTGGAACTAGATGATCTTGAAGGTCCCTTCCAACCCAAACCATTCTGTTATTTGGTGATAACTAAATTCATCTAAACATTTCCCACTTGAAATCTGATCACTTGTTAAAAGTGGATGGGTTTTTTTTAAATAAAGTTGATTGAGAAGTCCTTCCTGGTTTTATAGTTCCCTTTTTATCTGGATCTTTCTTCCATGCAACTTGAATTTCTTGATTCCATCTGTTTTCTTTCTATCCTGTCATTCAACTTAAATTCTGTTTCTAGAAGACTTAAACCAACAATTTCCTCTAATTTTTAAATGTCTTAATTTTCCAAAATTTGGAAGAAAATTTTTGTGTAGTGATACTGTATACAAATAGTATTCTGTTCTTAGTGGAGTGCCTGCTTTCTGGTTCTTCAATTTCAAGTGTGTTTAAAAAAAAAACCAAACCAAAACAAAAACAGGAAAGTGCATTTTGGGTGTCTTATAGGTAGTTTTGAGGTATGTTTAGATGATAGACACATAATGTTTGACAGTTGAGAGTTGTGAATTAATTTCTACCCACTAATTTTATGTGGGTTTACCTTGTCAAATATACTAGATGTCTAAATTAATACTTTTTGTTTTAATTTACAGGTGTTATAATTTCAAGAAATGCTGTGACCTACTTGAAGAACATTATCCACAGAAACTTTTGGCTCATGATAATTCTTAAAGCTAGAATGGCTTTGAAAAAAACACCTAAACTGTTCAAGAAATTATTTTTTCACTGGAAACTTTGGAAATTTAGCATTATTGTATTTGTCTTTCTGGTATTTTTATTTTTATTGCAAAGAGAAGTAGGTGTTCAAGATTTTAAAGATGAAGCAGGGATTGAGCCAGTTGTTGGAAAGAAAAGTCATGTATTAGGTCTAGTGTTAAATGCTATGAACAATATCAAAGGTGCAAAGCCAAAAATGCAGATAAAAGCACCTGTTAGGCAAACTAAAATTCCTGGAGAGAGACACTGTTTGCCAGGACACTATACTGCAGTAGAACTAAAACCCTTTCTAGATCGACCCCTTCAAGATCCTAATGCTCCTGGAGCTTCTGGTAAAGCATTTAAAACCATCAACTTAAATTCAGAAGAACAGAAAGAAAAACGACAAGGAGAAGAAAAACACTGTTTTAATGCATTTGCAAGTGATAGGATTTCTTTACACCGAGATCTTGGACCAGACACTCGACCTCCTGAGTATGTTTAAATATGTATGTCCTGATAGTTGAAAAACTTGTCAGAAATGCAGACTGCAAAGTGATTTGAGTTCAGCATTAGGTGATAGTTTAAGAAAGTCTCCTGGCTGTACATAATGACTGGCTGTACATAATGATCCACAGTGCCAAAACCAAGACTGTTTAGAAAGGCTCGCTTCTTTCATGGTTTTGAATTCAAAGTAACCATATTTAAATGAGGTTTTCTGCTTTTGCCTTGAAGCTTCAATTTCTGAGTGACTTTCTGGAAGCCTGCTAAGTTTTATTTAGAAGAAAACTAAAAATGTGGTTTAAACTTTTTCTCAGTCTAAATACCAGTTCTTCTCCCCCCCCCCCCCCC